GGCCGAGTACCAGCTCCGATTCGCCTAAGGGAACAATGCGAGAGGACGGCGACGACACAGCAACAACAACAATCAACCGATTCAACAGTCCGTTCAACGCATCAACGATGAAACGCAAAACCTCCGCAGCAATACAAAATCGGTTACATTTCCATATTTTCCAACATTTTCACACCTCAATAGAGCACACCTCATCACATATATTATTACACTGAATTAAAATATACAAATGAAACTAAAAATGAGCAAACGAATAGTTCACGATAAAACAGGAATGCAGCCATACAGATTAGATTACCCAAGCGAGCATATTAAGCATAGCAATAGCTATATAATAAGATTAAAGTTCTTAGAAAAATACAGTTAAAAAAACAATACTTTTCAAATAGTGAATTACTTTTGCATTGGTATTGTCTAATAAGACATTGTTTCATAGGACAAGTTACTTCATCTTGTCCAATTGTTCAATTGCTTCAGATTGTTCATGTCCATTGTTTTATCGCTGTTATTATTAATACTATCACTGATTGTTATGATTGTTACTATTGTTATCATTATTCTTGTGTATTATCAACAAGGATTCCACCAGTTCATCGCAGTTGGACGAGATTTTCAACAAATCGTTTGCGGCTATCGAAAATTTGGGAGAATCAATTTTGAGGTCTAGCCAATGAATTTCTGGAGCCCAATCTCCGAAAAGGCCCACTGATTGAACAAAAAACCTAGCCTTAACTATCACTCTTGTGGACAATTGCGAGAGCATCTCAGAAGAGTCATAAATGCGACAAAAAGTCGTGCCTAGGAGGGTTTGCCAGGGATAATGAGTTAGGCAGAAGAAAAATGCCCCATCAAATTCCTTCCTGAATTTTTGGGCATTCCAATCAAAACAAGAGAAAAGGAGTCATATGGCGGTCAAGCCAGCTCCTTAGCGCCGCTAATGGAGGGTTTGTTATTAAATGGGGTTATTTCATATTATGAAACATCACACAGTTTNTCGGGCATTATACTTAATAAGTGCTTGGGTTATGGGTATAAAGCACTTTGGTTCGGGTGTGGGTTCGGGTCATGGGTTAACCTCCAACGGCACTTCGTGGGATTGGGAGAGGTTATAAGCTTAGGATGGCAACCACCCGAAGCTGGCTAGAGTTCGCATAAAAACTCTGAGAGAGCGTCTTCGTATACCTTATTGATGTTATTGAGAAATTTGAAGAAAAGTTTGAAATAGAGACGTTTAATGGATAGAATATTCATGGAAGGATGCAGATAACCATAAAATGGCTAGGATATTGATAAAATGAAGGAGATAACTGTAAAGGCTAGGAAAAAGAAAACCTCAAAAAGTACTGGAACAGCACCAGGTAGCAGCACAATATCAACACGACTACGAAGATAAACGACGACAAAGTTTCAACAAACAGTACAGAAAATTGAAAAATAGAAAGATTTATAAAAAATTAGAAAATAAAAAATGAAAAAAATAAAAAATAAAATAAAACATTAAAAAATAAGAAAAAAACAAAAAAAACAAAATGAAACATTAAAAAA